GGCAAAATCCCTGATATATGTTTGGACATGTTGTGAGGAGACCGGTCCTTAGAGAGGGACATCATGCTTGGGAGGGTGGAGGGACAGTGCAGGAGAGGAAGGCCCTCTATGAGGTGGATTGATTCAGTGACTGGGATAATTGGGATGGGAGTGACAGAGACAGTGCGATTGGCACAGGACAGAGCGAAGTTTAGGGCTGTTGTACATAGGGTCGCTATGAGTCGCAAGCGACTCGACGGCACATAACAACATGTAAATATGGGACACACATCAGAGCCACTTTTTATTAGTGACAGGTTTCAAGGCAAACTTATTCATATATGAATCATTCACATAAGCAGGCTTGTTGAGTACACAAAACCATAGGCTTATATAGCAGCATTTCAGGCGCATGTCCTAGCTGTGCTTGCATTGTTCTCAAATCCATTTGTGTGTGTGTGTGTACTGTCAAATCAGATCTGACTGGTACAGGAGATTGTCCCTCCTTCTTCAGCAGAGCATCTGGTGGATTTAAACCACTCACCTCTGGAATTGGAGTGCAGCTTCTTGCCACTAGGTGGCCAGAGCTCCCTTCTCAAGTCCATTTTAATTAGATGTTTCCTTCCTATCACTCAGAAACCCCACCTCCACGCTGGCCAAACTACAACAGGTGGCCTTGTTGACAGCTTCCTCCTCCCTTGGTAGAAACTTCATGACATGACTGCTCCTTTTTTATCTCCTTTGCCAGCTAGCTTGTCCCCCTCAGCCACCTCCGTTGATGCTGGTGGGTTGTCTGTCTCTAGATGATCTCGTCTCCATAACTACAGCACAACTGCATAGCCCATGCCACTCACATAGCGCTTGTTTCAAATTTTACCTGTCTGAAGCCAAACGCGAATCAAGAGTAATCTCCCAGTGTAATCTCCTCTCCCGCCAAATGCGTCTCCTTTATGGTCTCACCTTTCATCCAAGCCATCAGCATAAACGGCAGTCTACCTCCATTTCCACACACGGCCATAACTGTCTTCCCTAAAATTACTGTTCTACATGAAACTGCTCTTTGCCTTGCTAGCCTGAACCTCCCCATTTTTCTCAAACAATGGGGTCCTTTTAACATTTTAGCCAGATGTCACTCAAACTCCCTCCTGACTGCTTCTTCATGGTCTGGTCTCTCCCTCACTCCTTCCCTCTTATTTGGGTTTCAGCACACTGGCCAGAGTTCCTGGACATGTTAAAGTAAGCACTCTCACTTTGGGTCTTTACTTTTGCTGCTCTGAAATAGCCCTCTTCTTCCACTTTCTCCAGCTTGCTATTTGGCTAGTGCTATTAGAGTCTTTGGATAATATGAAAATTAATACTTCACTGCTGATTAAAAGCATTGTTAGACCTTGGAAAGCTGAAAAAACATGAGCCATGGTAAACTTTGCAGAGGAGCTCTGGGGTGGGGGGCGGGGCTATAACCGTAGCTAACCAAAAACTTTGTTTGAATACACCAAGTGCTCTATGGGAGAATGATGTGACCACCTGCTTTCTCGAAAGCTCCATAGAGCAGTTTCACTGTTCTAGACTGTTATATGCTGTTGAGTTGGAACAGACTAATAGCTAACCCTCCAGAGGGACTTCAAAGTCTGTTAATCACAACGTTCGTTTGAGTAAGGTACGCCTTATTCAGGCCTGTCTTTTCAATCACTTGCTATGCTGCTGAGAGCTGAACAGTGAATAAGGATGCCAGAATTGCAGCCTTTTGAACTGAGGTGCTGGAAAGAGTACTAAGTATCCCATGTACTGACAAAAGAACAAACATGTCTGGATAATGTACAACCAGAGTGCTTCAACATAAACTTTGTCTTACATACTTTAGACATGTTAGGAGAGGCTCTTCATTGGAGAGGGACATCATGCTTGGGAAGGTGGAGGGATGATGAGAGGAAGACCCTCAACCAGAGGGATTGACACAGTAACTGCAGCAATGGGGTCTAGTGTGTCAGGGATGGTGAGGACGGCACATAATTCCAATCTGTTGTTCATAGTACCAATGTATTGTACTTGATGGTACTGAACAACAATCCGATTCTTCCTACCATGGAGTAACAGGATTCAAACCTTGGCAACTCCTTACCAACCAGGCTACCAGAACTGTGCCCCATGCTAGAATTGGAATCCACTCCACAGCAAAGAGGTAGACCCTACTCTAGGGGTGCCCTGCCATTGCCCAGATGCCAACATATTTTCCTTTCCAGAACCTGTTAAAAGCCTGGTTTCTTGCTTCACTGCTTCACTGGTTTGTTGTTTTGTTTTTGGAGGGAACCAGTGTCCAAAGGCCACTAGGAATATATTGTGCCTAAGGTCTCAAACCAATTACCTATGGAAATAAGTAGGAGGGAAAAGCGATACAACAGGCATAGATCCTTGGATATAAAACCTTTTTGGGTAAACTAGCGACTAAATGAGCTTTGCAACAGGTAAGATATTTTAGGAGGAAAAGACATGCTTTTCTATCAGATCTAGGACGGTTTCACTAGATTTCCATTTGGATGACTTACTCAATATCCATTCCCAGATAACCCATTTTCACATTGATAACTACCTTAAAATTCTCTTCCTGTTGCTATAATTTGGGTTTACTCCACCAGTCACCAGAGGGCACTATAAACTGAAGTGCTTGAGACTTTAGACCCTAACGATTAACTCGGCGGGCCTTGGTAGTGCACTGAGCCAACTCACAGCTGACCCTCCATTGAGTTCCCAAGGCTGTACATCTCAGGCTTGCTCATCTTTCTCCCCATGAGCACCTGTAATATTTCAATCACTAGTGAGGAGCTAGCACAGTTCTGTACAGACTGCCACTGGTGTAGTGCTAACCAAAATAATTTCTGGAGAATTGCTCTTTAAACTTTTAGTTTGGTGAGCTCTGATGGCCTAGTGGCAAGGAGCTGCACTGCAATCCCAGAGGGTTCAAATCCACCAGATGCTCTGCTGGAGGAACAATCACCTCCTGTACCAGTCAGATGTGACAGTACACACATAAAATAAAAAAAAAAAAAACCCAAAAAACTTTTAGTTCAAAACCTCTGAAGTCTGAGAACTCAGATTCTATCCTGGATATAAGCTTAGTGGTGATAGGTTTTCTAAGAAAATGTTTACTCCTGTTTAATTGATAACTGTTCTCAATTGGGTAGCTTGTCAGCCACTCTACCCAAGGAAGATGAGCCAGTTTGCTCTGGTGACTACTGGCTGCTGGGCACCATCAAGTAGACTACTACTCATAGAAAATTGCAGGACAGATCTGAACTCGGCTCTATCCTGTGCCATCCTCACACCTGACACTTGAGCCAAACCTTGCAGTCACTGGCAATCCCCCTAGTTGAAGGTCTTCTTTCACTGACCTTTCAAACCTAACAATATGTAGTTACAACTTTCAAAACCAGATGGCTAAACATCTAAATTGATTTGATGTTAGTGGGCTTAGAATCAATCCAGAATACTATCTAGTTGCTTTTGGTTAAAAACATTCCACACAGGAAGGTCTGAACCTTTTCTAGTTCTATCTGAACATTACTGCAGGGAAATAATCAGTACCAGATAAGCAGTTTTATGGTAGATTTGGGCCCTCTGGCTCTACCAAGGGCCCAACCCCACCTACTTCCATGCTGGTTATTTGTACTTCACGCTTACTGTAGTAATCAAAAGTCCAGCTCTTGACATGCTTTACCAAAAGACTTGCTTTCTAGCGTCTAGCTTAATAAACTGAGGGAACAAACTCGAGAAGATGGTCACTTCAATTAAGCATAAGTCAACATTCTTAGAAACCCTATCACTACTAATCCTATCAGTCTACTAGGTCAAATATCCAGGATACATACGAACTTTGAAACCAGAGAGCAAATTTTAAGACTCTCAATTTTCAGACTTCAGAGATTTTGAACTAAGTTTTTAAGAAGCAATTCATCAAAGCCAAGTGTTTCTGAAACATTTCTCATCCTCTTGTAGAGGGAATGGTTTACAAATCCAGTAATTTTTGTATTCCCCTATTCAATCTTGGCTGCCACCAACAGGCAGACAGAAAGCGCGAGGAACTTTTTTATTGCATCTGTGATGGAAACCCAAAAAGCAGACAGTTAACTGCTCCAGGTCTGTCAAATAGATGCATCTTTGCACTGTTACCTAGTCTTTCCTGTAACACCTTATGCTATCCGCCCCGTCATTTCATCTTAAGAGGTCAGCAAACCTCTAAACCTTAGGTACTATTATAGCTCATTGTGACCTTATGGACAAAACCAAATCTTGCCTTATCCTATGTCAAATTTCTTTATCAAAGGCCAGCTATTTTGGGAATTCCACCTACAAAAAGTAGCCAGACTATCAACAAGCAAGCTAGGATAGCCATGTTCCAGTGAAACGGGACATATTTTAAGTGTCAGGACTTTTCCCCATTTAAAAGAAATTAAGCTCAGTTATGTGAAAATATCCCCATTCCTGTTCTCATTAGCATCTCAGTCACAACAGCAGACTTTCTCTAGAACCTAGTGCTACCCCATTTAAAAGAAATAAGTTCAGACAACATTTGGCTCCCAATTGTATTAGTCTCTTTTTATTCTTTTGGTAATGTCTTCCAAAGTTAACCACTTCCATTGTGGTGATGAGATGTGTTAAGGATCCACTTCGAATGTTGGCACTGCTACAAATTCCTCAGAATTAAGATTTGATTCTTGTGGCTATATTCTAGTCCCAGAAGTTGCTTAGCTGAAGTCATCTGAACACAGCCTCTGACTTTATGATCTGTAGCCTGGCTCAGGCTGCTCCAGGAGCAAGAGAATAAAGTTAAATATATTCAACTACAAGGCATTCTCAAGTGAGTTTAAACACACTTTATTTTTAGACAACCTATGACATTTTTTCCCTTTAAAAAAAATGCCTCCGCTCCAAATCAATGAAGGTCAAAATTAAAATGGAGAGCTCAAGATGGTATCTCAGTCCCATTTGTCGAAGTCCTGGTGTGGTGATGAAACGTAGCAGCCAGATCAGATGACAGGTGATGGATCCAAAGAAGTGCCAAATTTGTTACTGTAAGAAAAAGAAAAAACATTAACACTCTCCCAATGTGGAAAGCACTCAGCTGCCCCAGGTTGCAGATGTACTCCCTCATTCAATCCGGACTGTCACGACGACAGACAGAAAGCGCAGGGAATTTTTCTTTTGCATCCTAGTGCAAACCAAAAGAACAACAGCAGATTGTTCTAGGTCTATCAGTGGATGCAGAACATCCTTTTCTACCATCACACAAGCAGCACCCCAAAGACCCTCTGAGCACAAACTCCAACTTTACTAACAAAACTGCAGACCAGGCCCTTTGATAAGTCAGCTTGTAGTGCTTACTTTTTTGGACAGCTCTGTACACGAAACCACTGCATGCCACCATTTATATGCTCAATTCAACAGCCAGCTGTTGAACCCAACTAAAAAGCTGAATGTTGCCAGTGGTCAAAAAGTGACACGTGTGGCAAAATGTAGAGAGAAAAGCAATCTGACTTAAGCAGGTCGTTTCTATTACGGACCAACAAAAGTGCCTTGTCTCTCCAGTCACGAGTCAAAACTGCCTTAGAAAAGTTTCCCGGAACTTCTTTAAACATGTCAAACATACCCTGTTCAGACATCCCACCCTCAAGTAAAGAAAAACTAGACCCATGTTAAAAAAAGACTGCTGGAGAATCACAGTTAACACAAACCAAGCAGTCATACCTAAAAAGATACTGTTTTTATATTATGAATATTGACCAGTCTCCTCATACTTACACATTTCTCCATTTCTAAACCATCCTTAAAGAAAATCATGAATGGAGTCACACCATCCTCACGGTAGTCCAGCAGAGCAACCATGCCATCTGGATTCATGTTTTCACCAATAAAGAACTTGGAAAGCAAATACATATCCACAATTAGAGCATTTTATTTTATCATGTATCAAGACAAACCTCAAATTATAATAAACCAAAAGTTGGTTAAAAACTCTAACAGTTTAATGAAGTATATCTTTAGTAACTCAAAGGCTCTGCTCTGAGAGATTACAAAGGTCTGTTCAATTAGTTAATGACCAAAATAATAGTCTAAAACAATCTAGTGCACTTTAAAATTCCTGTTAGTCTGTTTTCAACCCCACTCATGTAATTCCAACAAGTTTACAGAACATATGGCTGCCATTAATGTAGCATACCATATGGTTAAACACCTTTTTGTCAGAATTGCAAAAGCCTAGAAATTTGGAGTGCTTTTTTTTTGGGGGGGTGGGGTGGTTGTCATAAAGATGAAAAAGCCACTGGAAGCTTTTAAACAGGACTTAAACTTAAAATGACTATGTGGGTTTTTTAAAGTTTTATTTCTCAGTTAAAATTATCTATTCTGTTTTACCTGGTAGTTTTTGAAATTAGCAAGGATGTGCTTGATCTGTTCTGCAGCCCCCGTCATAAAAGGTTTTACTCTTTCTGGTTTTTGTTCTTCAAGTTTGCCTTTGAGTCTAAAAATAAGATTTCATTATTAGGTTAAAATGTTGAATCTTGAGCAGTGCAACATTTTTTTCCCTAAGAACCCCAAATTTAAGAAAAAGCAACTTGCTCTCTACCAACCATGAGCATGCCATACAGTCCAGGCTTTCACAACAAGGACTGTTTACAAACTTCAAACCCTAGGTCCTGAACGATCAGAGACCCCAACACTTACGATTTCATGTAATCCTTGATGTACTTCTTGTAAGCTTCTTTTGTGAAGCTGGTTTCCTGCAAGTGATGGTTCATGACGATGTCAACACCAGTGATTACTGTGGTTTCGGTTCCTTCACAATCGGTGCCTTCAGCAGAGGCGTTTCCACCAATGAGCGAGTCATCAATGTTACCCTCCGTCCTACTGACCATCTGGGTATTAAAGAAAAGCAATTGACATCTTTTACTTTGGAATCAAAGCGACTCTGGGGTTGGAGGGTGAGGGCGGAGGCGAGCCGAGGCAGTGACTTCTTGTACTCCCGAACCAGGGCCAGCACGTCCAAGGCAGGCTGTGCGCCCGGTTCGCAGACCTATTTCCAGGTTCAGCTCCGCCTCCACTTTTCTAGAAAAACCCAAGCCCGGAAAGACGTCTCTCCACCAGGCGGCGGCGGCGAGGATTGAACAACCGAGGTGGGGGAAGCGGAAACCCGAGCCGCCCGGCCTGCCACACGCACTCACCTTCCCCTCCACCTCCAAGCACAGTCCGCCTGCGATCTCCCGGATTTTGTAGATGTCGGAGAACAGCTCATCATCTGCGTTGGGACAGAGAACCGCGCGTCACGGGGCGCCGGACTGACAGGTCCCGCGCCATTTCTCCTCCTCGCACGCGGCCCCCGCTCTTCCCGGGCGCTCGAGACCCCGGAACGCGCCCCAGGACCGACGCCCTACTCGCCATCAAGGCCGCGAAGCTCAGACAGCGGCTTCCCCATCCCCTTCCTCCTCCCCCACCCCCGAACTCAGGCAGCAGGGTGGCTCCGCAAGAACTCACGGCTGATGAGGTCCCGGTAGATGATCATGATGGCGACAAGGAGACGACGGCGGCGCTAGCTGAGCAGGAGCCGGAGCTCTGAGCGAGCGCGCTGCAGCAAGAGCAGGGCTCAGGGAGAGGGGGGAGCGGGCGGTAAAGGCCGACTCAGCCGCTCCCCGACCTCATATACAGGGCACGTCCCTTACGTCATCGTCCGCCACGCCTCCGGACGCGCCGCCGGCGAGGACGCACGGCTGGGCGGGGTGTGGAGCCGCGACGCGGCCTGGGGGAGGGGAGGGCACATCCGGGCATGCGCGCGGGGGGCGGAGCCGGGGCGCGGATCGGGAGGGGTTGGTATACAAACAATCCCTCCCTCTCTGGCTTCCGAGCTGTGGAGTGAAAGGGGTGTCCTGGCCCCTGGAAGCTCCGGCCTGGGGGCGGGGCGGCTGGGGTCACCCTTCTCCGAGGGGTGCTGGGAGGTGCTAGCCCTCGGCTGGAATAAACCGAAATCACTTCCAGCTGCCTCCGCCCTCCTGGCGCCTCGAGTTGTGGGAGAACCGTTTTTGGGGATGAAGTGTCCACAGATATGGGAGGGGTTTGGGATTTCGAAGGAGACTGTCCACGAGGACAAGGCAGAGAGCTGGGCTTCGGCTTGCGACCTCGCAGAGCTGCGCGACTGGGCGTCCAGGCGCCTCTGGCGAAGGCGGGAGAGGGACCCCCAGTCCCTGCTGCCCGACGATCGTCGGGGTCTATGGGTGAGAGGAGGCATGAGGAGGGAGGAAGACGTCAGGAGCTTGCACAGTTGGCCCACTTTCTTCAGTCTGAAGACCGCTATTTCTGTGGCACAGCCAAACCTTGCACTTCTGTTTGTGTTTGGGAAGATAAGTCCTTTATTTGAATAAAAGCATGATGTTGTGAGTTGACATTGTATCCTATCAAAATAGGGAACTTCGCACTTATATATTGTTGTTATGTGCAGTCGAGTCGCTTGCGACTCATAGCGACCCTATGTACAACA